TTCTAGAACGGCCCTCCAGAGGGCAAAGCACGGCAGCAATCAGCAGTGATGCTGGTGCCCACAGAGGCTCCATCCTGGGCTTCACCCCCTCTCTTCTCCTTAGTCACCTGGCAGGACGCACCTGAGCCTGGCCATTGGCTCCTCCCCAGCACAGAGGGGGACATGAAGGAACACACTGGTCACGCTGTGTTGTGCAGGCTGAGAGCTGGAGACTACTTGGCTGGCCATCACTGGAGGACTGTGGGAGCACAGAATACTCTGCAGCACCTAGCTGTTAGAAACAGCAGGGCTACATCAGGGGTCCGCAACCTGGGGAGACATCTAGCAACGTCTGGAAAGATTTTTGATTGTCACGGCTCAGGGGTGAGAGGGACTGGGGGGGGTGCCATGCTGGCATCTAATGGGTTGAGATCAGGGATGCTGCTACACCCTACGTTGTAGAGGACAGTCCCCCACAACAAAGCATCATCCCACCCAAACTGTCAAGAAGGCTGATACAGTCACTGAAAGAGGTACAAGACAACATGATTACGTTATAAACATACAGTCCTGGATGGAAATGTTTTTTGTTTTTAAAGAGATGTGGGGGCACCTGGGTGGCTCAGCTGGCTGAGCATCTGACTCTCCATTTCAGCTCAGGTTGTGATCTCAGGGTCGTGAGATTGAGCCCTGTGTCAAGCTCCGTGCTAAGCAGGGAGTCTGCTTAGGATTCTCTCCCTCTGGCCCTCACCCCACTCGCACTTGCTCACTCTCTAAAATAAATAATCTTAAAAAAAAAAAAAAGAAATGCGATCTATTATAAAAATTCCTATTGGGGGCACCTGGGTGGCTCAGTCGGTTAAGCGTCTGCCTTCAGCTCAGGTCATGATCCTGGGGTCCTGGGATGCAGCCCCGCATCGGGCTCCCTGCTCAGCGGGGAGCCTGCTTCTCCCTCTCCCTCTGCCTGCCACTCCCCCTATTTGTGCACTCTCTCTGTCAAATAAATAAATAAAATCTTAAAAAAATAAAAAATAAAATTCCTACTGGGAATTAGGGATTCATTCAATCATCTGATGTTCATTATGTATCTACTGTAAGGTAGACACTGTGCTCAGCAGAGGCAGATGTTAATTAAATAATCTCACAAATGAAAGGGGGAAGGGAGGAGATATTTTGGAGACTGGTAGGACCTAGAGTTCCTCAGTTCCACACTTACACAAGCCACAAAGCCCCTCAACTTACATGCTTGCTTACATGACGCTAAAGAACAGTCCCGCTCGGCAGAGCTGCAAGCCAGCTGGAGACCCTGCTGTGCACACAGTGAGCACTCAGTGGATGTTTGTCGAATAAACAGATGAAGGCTGTACAGTTCAACACCACTAAACGACTCCTTCAAAAACTTCTGGGCCTTAACCTTTGAAAGGAGGAAACTGAACAGAAAGGAGGAGCCCAAGGGCCAGGCCCTTTGCCAGACAATCACAGGTGTGCACCTGTCCACTGACCAACTACTAGTGTTCTTTCCTCCTCAAGCCCACGCCCACCTCACACCAAGCTACTTGCAGTTCCTTAAGCAAAACATTCTTCCCCTCCTAGTTCACCTGGAAAACTCCTATTCAGGCTTCCAATTCCTGATCACCTTGTCTGCCTTGCTTCCCAACCCTACCTCACCCTGGTGACCTTGATTTCTGCCTTCCTTCGTGCCGTCTGTACTTTGTGCTCACCTCTACCACACCAGTCATAACTTCTTACCATAACGTGATCATGAACTCTCTCAAACTAAATCCTATTCATCTTTGTAGGCAGTGGTCTAGAACCTAGAACACCACAGATGCTCAAGGTGTAGCAAATGAAAGAATGAATGAATCCATGTCCTGCACCGTGCTACAAAAGAAGTGGGATAAAGTCTGTGCCCTTGAAAAGCTTACAATCTTAGGTAATAAATAAATGAAAAGATGTAGAGAAACTAGTAAGAATTAAAATATTAGAATTCTAGGGGTGCCTGGGTGGCTCTTGATTTCGGCTCAGGTCATGATCTCAGGTTTGTAAAATCAAGCCCTGCTTAGTGGGGGGAGTCTGCTTGAGAGTCTCTCCCTCTGCCTATCCCCCTTACCCCTTGCTCCCACACATGCTCTCTCGCTCTCTCTAAATAAATCTTGGGGCACCTGGGTGGCTCAGGTCATGATCTCAGAGTCCTGGAATCAAGCCCTGCATCAGGCTCCCTGCTCAGTGGGGAGTCTGCTTCTCCGTCTGCCCCTCCCCCCTACTCATGCACGCGCGCTCTCTCTCTCTCTCTCAAATAAATAAAATCTTTAAAAAATAAAATATTTAGAATTCTAAGTCAACATTACACTTAAAGAAAATAAATTACTGTACCCTTTGTAGATACCATCACACATCCTCAAAAAATTCAGAAATAAAAGACTAGAAATAAACACACAAAATATAAAGGTAAATACAGTTAGTGGCATGTAAATGATTCTGATCTTTTTATATGTGTCTGCATATTTAAAATGAATGTGAACTCATTTTTCATCAGGATAAAGTACTGAAAATAAATATAACCAAAAAAAGCTTACCATCTCTTCACTGGGAAAAGGATAAATATGTGAAATAATAATTGAAGATTTTTGCTAGAGATGCAAACTTGATAGTCATTATAAGAAATATGCATTTTTTCATATACAAATTATGTACAAGTGTTAGGATGTAAACTGCTAAATGGTATCCAATTAAATAAATCTCCTCAGGTACTCTAGGAAACCCATAGCCTCCTATCACAGCTGTTGTCATTTGCACTGATAGCAACAAATGGACGAAGCGGAAGTTACAAGCAGAGTCGGCTTGAAAACACACAATGCTTCTTACCATGAATGCATGGCACATAATAAGTCCTCAATAAACTTTTATTGAATGAGTGATCTGATATTCCTAACCAAAGGGAAAAATTATCTACTAATGAGGCAAGTATATCAGGAGCTGCGGTTACCTAGAACACATCCTTCTCATAATGAAAACAGGCCCCAAATGTTTCCCCTGTACTTAGCACCCAGTTGCCAAAAGGGCTATTCTTCCCCCTTTTTGGTAAAAGGAGTAGAAAATAATTGTGTCTGACCCTCTATATACAAACTATCCTTCCATATACTATCCTTATGGTAATAACCCATCCACTCACCAGCCTCCCTCATGGCTCCCTGGCTATAGCTGGGGATTCAAACTTAAATCTGGAAGGTAAGTTTTAATACTGACAGTTTAAAATCATGAGTATAAAGAATGAATACTGGATATCTGGTAAACTGCATTTTTCTGATTGCTGGGTCAGACAAGGAAAAACTGCAAACCAGAATCTGAGTGTCTGGACGGGCTGCCAGAGGTAGGAATGAAAACCTTAAGGAACAAGAGTTCTGCCAACCAGAGAAGCTGGGTGGCTCAGTCGGTGAATTGGCAAACTCTTATTTCGGCTCAGGTCCTGATCTCATGGGTCATGAGATCGAGCCCGGCATCGGGCTCCGCGCTCAGAGGGAGTCTGCTTGGATATTCTCTCCCTCTGCCACTTCCCCCGCTCACGTGTTCTCTCTCTCCAATTAAAAAAAAAAAAGTTCTGTCAACCAAAAAAAAAAAAAAAACCTCCAGCCCAAGATCCTTGGAATAAAGATCAAAGAAAGGAAGCATGGAGTGTGGCAGAAGGTAAAGGAAGCCTCAAAAACCCTTGTAATCCCTCATTCATTCATGCATTTACGTGCTAAGGGTTGTGGGAGACAGAAAAAGGAAAAAGTCTTCATTCCTGCTGTGAAGGACTCCATCCATCAGGAACATGAAATGGCCACAAATAGCTATCACACTGGGAAGGAAGTAACAATCCAAAAACGAGGTACAAGTGTGTTCAGAGACAGAAGAAATCTCATATTTAGGAAGCTATTAGGTACACCTGACTACAACATACCAGGATTTTGAAAATATTAGAACATTAGGAGAAAAAAGAAAGCACTGCTAATCCTTGTTCTTACATCTTGCTACACTGCTGACTGCCCGTCCTCGGGGCATCTGGCTCTCCTGGAGCAACACCACATTCCCCAACACCCAGGAATGGAGGGCTGATAGCAGGTGACAACCAACTTCAACAAAGCTGTACCATGAGCCAGGCTGTGCAGTCAGCCCTGTAAGCCTCACAATTTCCCCTACAAAGTACAAACTGTTACTATATCCAGTTTACAAGCTGTTACTATATCCAGTTTACAAGTAAGAAAATGGGGCACAGAGAAGTTAAGTGACTTGCCCAAGGTCACCCAGCTCATAAGTGGCACAAACAAGAGTTGAGTCCAGAATCTGGGCCCTTAGCCATGACCCTACGCTGCCTCCATGCTGAGAACCTGTGGACATTTATCAGGACATACACAGCTGGAGCATGCAAGGTGATTTTTGGCCAAGTTGGCCCTTTAAGCACACACATGTATTTCAAACTATTCTTATTTACACAACAAAAATTCACACACCATTCCTGACCTGGCTTTGAAAATGAGTTTTCACAATCTTTAATGGGATATTTGCTTTGTTAATCTGGGGGAAAAACAAAACAAAACAAAAAAAAGCCTGTTTCCTCAAGGGCCAGGGGCCACAGTAGTTAAATCACAGTTTTGACTGCGGCTTGCAGGCACCACCCCTTACGGGTCATCTCATGGCCTTGGGCAAAATGCTCAGCCTTGTTTGTTTCTTCTCCAGCAAAGTGGCTATAACAACAGTACCATCTCATAAAGTGGTAAAAACTACACGATAGTGTGCACATAAAGGGCTAAGCACAGTAGGCCAAGCACTGAAAGCTCAATAAACGTGGCTTTCGTTTTTGAGGTCCTAAGTCCTCTGTGTTTGCAGAAGGCAAGTCCCGCAGTGACCACAGAAAGGCTTTCCCCATCCCAGAGTCGCTGCCCATCCCTGAAGCATTCTGCTGTGTCCTCCGGAGCCCAGAGACCCCCGAAGCGGGTTTCCCTGCACCCCGAGCCGGGAGGTGGCTGTGTCACCTCGCCCACGGCCAGGAACGAGGCAGGCTCCGGACGACCTCAGGGCGGGACCACAAAACTTAACCCAGATTTCTCACTCGGGTGAACTCATCGCTTAGTGGAGGATCAGGGCCCTGTCTGACGGGCTTGGCAGCGGCAGGAATGCGGGCGCGGGCTCACCCACCTGCCGAGCCCTGCTTCACAGCATCCCTGGGGAGCCCGTCCCCTCCCCGTCGCCGGGGGGAGGGGGGTGCCACCGGGGACCGTCCTAACCGCGCCGACACGGTCGATGTCCCCCAAATCGTCTGAAACACATTCCCACGATTTCCAAGAGGGCGCCGGCGGGGGAGCGCGCGGCGCTTCACAAAGCCAGGTGAGCAGCCACGTCCCCGCCGCACGTGGGGAGCCGCGGGAACCGGCCCCGGGGTCCGCGAGGCCGCGACCTCCGCGCCGCCCCCCCCACCCGGGCCGCGTGCGCCCCGCAGCCGCGTGCGCCCGGAGGCCACGTGCGCGCAGGGCCCCAGCCGCCGCCCCGGCCGCCCTCCCCCCCCCCCCCCCACCCCTGCACTCACCAGGTGAAGAGCTGGCCTGTGAGCCCGCGCAGCAGGCTCCCCAGCGCGCCCGCCCCTCGTGGCGCGTACAGCTGCGGGGCGCGGGGTCCAGCCGGCGAGGCCGCCTCCATGGGGGCCCCTGCAGTCTCGGCGCCCGGAACCCCCCGACGTGCCGGGGCGGGGAAGACAGGGGGCGGCGCCTGGGCGGCCGGCGGGACCCGGCCCCGTGCCCGCGCGCCCGCGCTCGCTCGCTCGCTCGCTCGCGTGCCTCCCTCCTCGGCCCTCGGCCGCCGCCAGTCCTTCACCGTCAGGCCTCCGGGGCCGGACCAGGCATTTGCAGACTACCACCTGGCTCCTCCCGGGCAGCTGGAGGACAAGGGGCGCAGTGCTCCCCCGCCCTGGCAGTGGAGCCTCGGGGATGGGTGACACCCCGCATGCATTTCAGGGTTTTATGGTTCCCTGTTTAGAACCAGCTCACGGGGTGAAACGAGGTTATGCCAGCGTGCCCTAACCTAAAGAGCCGTGACTTTGCAACCGCCTGAACTTTGCTAACTGGAAAGGGCCGGCCGACTCCTCCCCTGACTCCCGGCCGGCCTCCCTCCCTCTGACTAATTTACAAAAGACACTTCCCATCTAAAAGAACTGAAGACGCTAAATTTAGTGCTGTTTCTTTTCAGTGCAAACCCTGGGTAAAATCCCAGAGGGATTTTCGCAACACGTCTTTGTGAGGTGCCTCCTTCCTCACGGTGTGCGAGGCTTGCCTCTCGGTGTGCAAGCTCGCCCGGCAGGTGCCCGCGCCACGCACGCCGCCACCCGCTGTCGCGCAGCCAGGGCGCCCTGCGCCTGGGCCACGCCTTGCGATGCCTCTGCGGACCGAGGAGGGACGAGCACCTGCGGTGGAAAAGTTCCCGATCTTCGCCGACAGAAGGATCCAGAAGACAAGAGAGAAGGTGTGGGACCCTTTCTCTTCCTAACCACCTTACTCCTTGGGGGGGGGGGGGGGGGGGGGGGGGGAGGGGTGTAAAGAAGGAGCAAAATAAAGGTAAATTCAAACGAGTTGGCAGTTCTGTGAGAAGGTTCTAAGAAAGAAAACAGATTTTGAGAAATGGGATGCAGCTTTAGGAACTCCAAAGTTTAGCAGCTACAGGAACCCCACAGTTTAAATGAAATTATTATTTTTTAATTGTTGAAGAACATGGTCATCCAATAGAGGGACAACTGAGTATTATGGTACAACAGCATCCTATGGAAAAGAGCTATACCAAGACGGGAGGATTTTCTGTAGCTATTTTTGAGTGAAAAAAGTAAGATATAGAGAAATGGGTCTAATGTAATCTCATTTTTATAACGCAAACAGCCCATTAAACATTATATATATATTTTTCCTCAGGAAATAAACCTTATATATTGACAGTGTTAAATTTTACCTGAGCCCTGTGCACCTGGAAGATAGTAACGGTTAGGAACTGCCCCCATAGTGGGGCTCCTGGGTGGCTCAGTTGGTTGAGCATCTGACTCTTGATTTCCACTCAGGTCATGACCTCAGGGTCCTGAGATAGAGCCCCAGAAGGGGCTCCCCCGCGGGGTTCCCCCACTGGGCTCCTGGAGTCTGCTTAAGATTCTCTCTCCCTCTCTCTTTGTCCCTTCCACTGCCCGCCCCCCCCCCCCCATGCTTTCTCTAAAAAAAAAAAAAGAAAAGAAAGAAAGAAAGAAATGCCCCGATACTTTGGTATTCTTAGAAGTGGCATGCTGCAGGGGCACCTGGGTGGCTCAGTCATTAGGTGTCTGCCTTCAGCTCAGGTCATGATCTCAGAGTCCTGGGATCAAGCCCTGCATCTGGCTCCCTGCTCTGCAGGAAGCCTGCTTCCCCCTCTCCCACTCCCCCTGCTTGTGTTCCCTCTCTTGCTGTGTCTCTCTCTGTCAAATAAGTTAAAAAAAAAAAAAAAGTGGCATGCTGCAAAGAAACAGGTTTCCCATATAACTCAGATAAAGACCCAGAGTTGTTGTTTTTCACCTAGGACAAAGTCAGACACAGACCCTCCAAGTTCCATCCTCTGCCTCCTAAATGATGGCTAAACTGCTTTTCCCCACTGACCATTCAGAACAAAGTACTTGTTAAATCAACTGGCTAAATTCCTCTTCTTCCTCCAGGCCTGGGAACTTTCACCCACCTCAGCCTGAGCCAGCTTGTTACCACCCTTAATGGGTCCCTCTTGAGAATATGGTCCCCTCAGGGTAAAACATTCTCTGATCTCCTATTCAATCAAGCCACCCTTTCATTTCACTTTTTCCTTGGCAGGTAAGAGCCCCCTTTCCCCTTTTGCAACAATCCCTCCCTCCCCCTCCAATAATTCTTTCAAATAGTCTCTTCTTACCTAAATCAGATTTTTTTTAAAGATTTTATTTAAGTAATCGCCACACCCCACGTGGAGCTTGAACTCAGAACTCCCAGATCAAGAGTCTCATGCTCCACCAACTGAGCCAGCCAGGCGCCCCAGATTTGGTTTTTATTTGACAATATGGATATAGTTACGTGAGCATGGAGAAAAGTGTAAAACACATGTCAACACAAGTAACCTTAGAAAAGTTAAGGGATACAGAAAAGGAAAAAAAACACACTTAAAAAAACACTCCAGTATGTATGATATAGTCCCTTTTATGTACCCCCTGTGTTTTGTCTAAATATGAGATTAAAAGGTAGATTTAAATGTTGTGGCAGGCTGACTAATACCCCCCCCCAAAAATCCAGTTCCTAATCCCTAGAATCTGAGAATATTCCTTTAAATATGTAGTCTCTCCTGATCGGATGGGGGCCCCAAATGTAGGGCGACCGGACCGGGTGGGGGCCTGTGGTACAGGCAGTGAAAAGATTCACCTGAGGCAGAACAAAGGAAGTAGAAGTTTATGGAATACACAGCAAGGAAGCTGTGGGTAAGGGTGTGACAGATGGGACAATAAAGGAGAGACTGTCTGCCAGAAGGCAGTGGGTAGGGGCTGTATTGAAAGGGGGAAGGTAAGGAGGTATGGGAATGGAACCTATGGAATTTTCCTTTTTGGTACCTGTGTCCAGGTGTCAGTAACCCATTGGTCAGTTAGGGCTTACGGATATTTTGAGATGGGCCTGTTTGTATTTAACCAGCTAAAGGCCCTTTCTACATTCCATTGTGCAAGCAAGCCTGTTGCCTAAAAGCGGCCTCTACAGGATAGCAAAAGAGATTTACAGATGTGATTAAATGATATGTCTTGAGATGAGGAAATCATCTGGTGGGATTTAATATAATCACAAGTGTCTTGACGAGAGAGAAGCTAATGGAGATATACAGTGGAAGGAACGTGACACTGTGATAGAAGCAGAGATGGGGGGATGCACCTTGAAAATGTACCACATTTTCAAAGCCAAGGAGTCAACAGCCCCTAGAAGCTCAGAGCCTCAAGAAGGATGTAGTACTCTACCCACTTTAGCCTCAGCTATAGGCCAATAAAACCGATTTCAAACTTCTGACCTCCAGAACTGTAAGAGAATAACTTTTGCTGTTTTAAGCCACTACATTGGTGGCCATTTGCTACAGCAGAATAGGAAACAAATGCAGATTGTAGATACACTAACTTGCAGAGATCATGATATACTGTCTGGTGAAAAAAGCAAGTTACAGACTTGCAGAATAATTGTATAATATGATCCTGTTTTAGTAAATGCCACCAACTAAGTAACTAAATATCTTTATATATAAGGATACATCTATATGCATGTATTTATCCTCGCTTCTGTTTATATGAAGATGAAGAAGGTGTGGAAGAATATATACCAGGCTACTGATACTGTTTAAGTCATGAGAGTGATGGGGGGGAGAGGTGGAGGAGAGGGATAAGGAAGAGAAACATCCTTATATTATACATCCTCATTTTGTGTGCTTATTGTGGGCATATGCTACTTCTGCAACTTGAAAAATATTCAACGAAGACATTTTTTCCCACAGGTCATGTTAATCCTAACTAAAAACGTATTAGGCTCGGGGCACCTGGGTGGCTCAGTTGCTAGGCATCTGCCTTCGGCTGGGGTCCTGTTCCCGGGGTCCTGGGATCGAGCCCCGCATGGGGCTCCCTGCTCGGCGGGAAGCCTGCTTCTCCCTCTCCCACTCCCCCTGCTTGTGTTCCCTCTCTCGCTGTGTCTTTCTCTGTCAAATAAAGAAAATCTTAAAAAACAAAACCATTATTAGGCTCAACATCTCACCCCCACAGAAAAATGAGGTCACCACTGATGTGGATTCTGAAGTTACAAAGTTAAATGTATTTTCTAAATAGAATTTCCTCCTCAAAAAGTAGCAATAGCAGTATTGTTCTAGCATTGCTCCAAAATGAGCTCATCCCCCTTACTGAAGATTATTGATCAGTCTATATTATTTTGGTATCAGGATTAACATATATTGAGTGGATCCGTGGGCATCAATCCACAAGGTTTTGTCAAAGGAAATTTACTGAAAAAATTATTTAGTTGTTGGGAGATTTTGCACATAAATAGCCTTACTTCTTACAAGTACCAAAAAATAGCTACCACTTATTGAGCACCTACTGTGTGCCGGATACTTCATATACATTTTCAGTTCTTTTCCAGTTATCTGTTGTGTATATCAAATCACCCAAAATCTCAGTGGCTTCAGACAATAATCATTTTATTATCTCTTATGGTTTGTGTGGGTCAGAAATTTAGGAAGGTCTGGGCCAGGCAGTCTGACTCAAGGTCTTACATGCAGTTGTTGCAGTCAAAAGATAGTTGAAGCTGGAAGGTGGGGGTGCTGGGGGGTGGTCGGGTGTTAGGTAGGGCTGGAGCAGTGAGGGACTGAGCAGCCTCTCTTTCTTCACTTAGTTCCATGGGGCCTCTTATTGTGGGCTAATTTGGGCTTCCTCCTGGCCTGGTGACTTTGGGGTAATTAGTCTGCTTATATGACACCTGGTCCCCCCCACCCCCAAGCTAGTGTCCCAAGAGAAAAAAAAGCCAAAACATTGTTAATATCCTCCAGCCAAAGACCACCGAGAACATACATGTAGTTAAACAAGTTGAATTTATTACTCCTTGCACCAAGGGAGAACAAACCCATGGGAGAACCATTGGCTTTCTCAGTAAGAGGATGTTAGAAAGAACCTATTATAGGATTTGGGCTTTGGTTGAATGATTTGAGGAAGGATGTAAGGAAGCAAGGATTTGCTCTGAGTTGAATGCTGTCAGACTGGATGCAATTCTGATTAGTATCTCAATCAATAAATCTTATCTATATGGAGGGCTGAATGCGGTGAGGATAAACCTACAATTGGTAAAGAAGTAGCAGCCTCTCATTTTGACCGAAGAGAGGAGGAGAGTTGGTATTTAGTGGGTGGCACAGCGATCCTGGCTTCTGTTTCAATAAAATTATAAACTGGCCTTGCCTTGTCTCATTTTATCATGGTCTCAGAGTAATCTTGTCTGAGGATGGTACTCTGTGATATTGTTTATGTCCAATAGGAGAAAAAATGAAAAATGGCCTAGCTGTGAGTGCCAGGCCAGCTTCCAAATGTTAAAGACTGCTTTTTTTTTTTTTTTTTGTCTTATGGCCTAGCATCAAAAGTCACATAGCATCATCTTCATTATAATCACAAGGCCATCTAGATGCAAGGACCCCTGTTTTGGATTGAATGCTTGTACCCCTCCAAAATTCGTATTTTGAAATCTAATCCCCAGTGTGATGGTGGGTTTGGAGGTGGGGTCTTTGGGAGGTAGTTTAGGTCATGAGAGTGGGCCATAGAGCTGGCTCACTTCTTTTCTGCCTCATGAGGACACAAGGAGAAGTCTACAACCCAGATGAGGCCTCTCCCCAGAACCTAACCATGCTGGTACCTGGTTCTCGGACTAACAGCTTCCAGAACAAAGAAATGAATGCTTGTTGTTTAAAGAACATGGTCTATGGTAATTTGGTAAAGCAGCTCGAATAGACTAAGACAACCCCCACTTCTCCGTGGGAGACACATCACAGGGAAGTCACAGGAAAGAGCTTGTGGGATGGGAGATAATGTTGGACACATCTTTGGAAAGTAGAGTTGACCACAAATGCTTTCCAAAATGCTAGGCTTCTTAGCTCTTATTAGCTTTTTAGCACTGTCTTTTCAGGTGAGTAAATGAAAGCTCAGAAAGATTAAGGGACTTGCCCCTGTTCTTCAGGAGAGTAACTAACTCTGACATCAGGCTCACCAGGCTGCTTTCCCAATTTAACTGACAAGCACACATGAGTCTCTTTCTCCATATCTCTTTCTCCCTGTTTGTAAAAATAATTGTAAATAAACATACTTTTAAATCTCACCAAATACAACATACTGTCTAATAAGAGCTGTTACAGTCACATCCATACTGATTCTCATCAATCAAAAACATAAGATTGTGGTTCTCAGTGTTTAAGATTTTATATCATGTTATTTTTGTGAGGCATATTTGAACACTAAAAATACCATATTTGTAAAGAACTACAACAGGATCAAAAAGAAGAAACATTTTCAAACAAATTGCAGACATCAATATATAAAACTCTTTGAACCCAGGGGTGCCTCTTGATTTCAGGGTCATGAGTTCAAGCCCCACATTGGGCTCCATGTTGGGCATGGAAATTACTTTAAAAAAAAAAAACAAAACTCTTTGAATCCAGAACTAAACTAAAGTCCTTTTCATGAAAAGTAAATGGGAACTTTTCAAATGCAATCTCTATTTAACTTCCTCTTAAAGCCATTATATAAAAAGCCTTATTTTAATACAATGGAATATTATTTAGTCATAACAAAGGAAATCCTGCCATTTGCAACACCATGGATGAAACTTGAGGGCATTGTGCTAAGTGAAATAAATCAGACAGAGAAAGGCAAACATTGCATGACCTCACTTATATGCAGAACCTAAAAAAGGTGTGAACCATAGAAATAGAGTAGAATGGTGGTTATCAGGGGCTGGGAGGTAGAAATGGGGAGATGTCAGAGCACTAACCTTCAGTTATAAGATGAATAAGTTCTGGGATCTAATGTACAGCATGGTGATGACTGTTAACCACACTGAATTGTAAACTTGAAATTTGCTAAGAGAATAGACCTTAAATGTTCTCACCAAAAAAAAAGGAAGAAACCATGTGAGGTGATGGATGTGTTGACTAACCTTAATGTGGTAATCACTTTACCATATATATATATATATGGATGTCAAATCATTGTATTGTGCACTTTAAACTTATACAATGTTATTTGTCAATTATATCTCAATAAAGCTGGAGGAAAAAATCTTTATTTTAAAGATCCTATTTCTAGCATTCTAGTGCCACTACACTTGAGGCCCACAAGGCCCTGTCTTGTTCTAGCTAAGCCTCCTTATTTTCTCTTTCCCAGGTGTTCTAAGAATCTTGGTGTCAAGCTATGTTCGATTTGAATTGCTGGAAGTACACAAGGTACCGAAAACAAAAATGTCAGAATTATTTGTCATTAAACAGAGTGAATCAATAATACTGTGTGCTTAGACGGCAAGTTTGGAGAATTCACATCAAAACCATTATCTTATGATAGGGAATATTGCAAATCAATCAACCAGGTATTGGTTGAATGCAAACTATGTGCAGACCATAGTTCTAGATATGATCAGCAATATTCGAGACATGAAAAATACTTTTACCTTTTCTTCCATCTTTCCTTTCTTCCTTCCCCCACAAACACTTTTATTTATTTATTTATTTATTTAGAGATTTTATTTATTTATTTGACAGAGAAAGACACAGCGAGAGCAGGAACACAAGCAAGGGGGAGTGGGAGAGGGAAAAGCAGGCTCCCCCCCAACAAACGCTTTTAGAACACCTGCTCTAATCAGGAACCCATGTAGGTGGCAGGGAAAATGTAATAATGAATAAGACTTGGTCCTTGCCCTCATTTGGTCTAAAATTTAAAAGAGACTATCTGTACAGAACCCTAAAGGACCTTATTATCTCTGCAAGGAGAGAAGAGTTAGAAACATGACATTTTTCCAGGATTATTTCTTAGTCATAACCAGCCCCCACTTCATGCCCTCAGTCCTGCTCAGTCCTGAAGGATTTCTCTTCCCTTCACCTCTTCCAAACGCTACTGCCTGAATCCTTTTTCCTGAGATCATCCAACCTCTGAAATAAGGACTTAAGGGTCAATGAAGAGGAAATAGATGTGCAGTTGAACAACAATAAAAAATCAAAAACAGAAGGGGAGAATCATCTGGAGAAACCTAAAGTTTGTAGTTACCCATAGCTATTTCTTATTGTCCAGTTGCATGGTTTCAAATACTATCCATAGGCTGATGACTCCCAAATTTTTTATCTCCGGTGTGAGAATCCCCTGAGCTGAAAGTTCACATATCTGACTGCTTACTTGACATTTCCACTAGGAAATCTTTAAGGCGTCTCAAACATGGCCCAGACGAAACCCTCTGTCTTTCCATAATATGACTGTACAATAATGATTTGTATACATTGCTTGAAATAGCATATAGCTGGATATTGTTTTGGTTTTCAATCTGATAATCTTTGTCTTTTCATAAGAGTTTAATATATTTACACATAGAATGATTAATGGAATATTCAGATTTATTTATACCAAATTCTATGTGTTTTCAACTTGTCTCACTTAATGGTACTTTTTCTTCTCTTTCTTGCCTTCTTTTGGATTGGCTGTATTTTTTTCTCCATTTGTAAGTTATATAACTATGTCTATTTTTTTATGGTTGCCCTGGCTAATCTAACACGCAAACTTAACAAAGTTTGAAATCAGTGTTAATCCTCTTTCTAAACAATAAACCTTAGAATAATAATTTCTCCAAGTTTCATGCTATTGTCTAGTAATTAATTCTAACTTCCTTTTTCTCCCCCACAAAATAGATACATTTATTATTGTTTCATACAGTCACTCAGTTTTTAGGCATACCTAGGGCCAGATTCATGGGTGTGTGACCTGTATAGTCTCACAGAGCCCCCTGCTCAGAAGGGCTTGACTTCCTACTTTGCTGTTGCCACCTTGAAAGTCTTAATAATTTTTTAACAAGAGGCCCTGCATTTTCAGGGCTCTGCACTGAGACCCCAAATTATGTAGCCAGATCTTCCATCAAGAATTTATTTTCTTTCCACTTGAGTTACATCTTTAGAACTTCCTGTAGAGTGTGTCTTTTGATAGTGAAGTCTATTTTCAATTGCCTGAAAATATCTTGATGGTATCCTCTTTGTTTTTCTTTTAATTTTTTTTTAATTAGAGAGAGAGACAGAGAGAAAGCACAAGCAGCAGAGAAGGGGTGGAAGAAGAGGGAGAAGTAGTCTCCCCGCTGAGCTCAGGACTCAGGACTGCAGAACTCAATCCCAGGACCCTGGGATCATGACCTGAGCAGAAGGCACATGCTTAACTGACTGAGCCACCCAGGCACACCTCTTCTTTGTTTTTTTTTTTAAGATTTTATTTATTTATGGGGGGGGTAGCAGAGGGAAAGGGACAAGCAGACTGTGCTGAGCACAGAGGCCAACATGGGGCTCCATCCCAAGACCCTGACATCATGACCTGAGCTAAAACCAAGAGTCAGATGCTTAACTGACTAAGCCACCCAGGTGCCCCACCCCCCTTCTTTGTTTTTTAAGATGGTTCTGGTGGATATAGAACTTAGATTGACTAATATTTTCTCTCACCACTTTGAATATACTTTACTTGTCTACACTGTTGCAACTGAGAGTCAGCCAACCCTTAAATTACTTTTTCCTTATAGGTGATCGGACTCCTCCTGTGGCTTTTATCTTCTCCATTTTGGGGTTTTTTTGTGTTTTGTTTTTTTTTTTTGAGGTTGTACATTTCATTATGATGTGTCTCGATGTTGGTGTGTTGCTTGGGATTTATTAGGCTTTGTTGGGCTTCCCAGATTTGAAGATACCTTTCAATACCTGGGAAAATATTCAGCCATTAGATCCATATGGCCCTTTTTCTGGTCTCTATTATCTTCTTCAGGAACTCCTTTTATTTATTTACTTATGTATGTATGTATGTATTTATTTGAACTCCTCTTTTTTTAAAGATTTTATTTATTCATTTATTTTAGAGAGATACAGAGTGAGGACTGGGGGGCGTGGGGCAGAGGGAGGAGAGAGAGAATCTCAAGCAGACTCCCCACTGAGCTTGGAGCCCAACACAGGGCTCAATCTCATAACCCTGAGATCATTACCTAAGCCAAAATCAATAGTCAGACACTCAACTGACTGAGCCACCCAGGTGTCCCTGGAACTCCTTTTAGACATAGGTCAGACATTCTTACTCTCTCTTCCACATTTCTCAGTTTCTTTCATATTTTCCATATTTTTCTCTCTGAATTTATTCTGGATAATTATTTCAAATCTACCTTCAATGATGGTAATTCTCTTTTTAATTGTGTCTAATGGTGATTAAACCAATTTTGAGGTTTTCTTTTCAATTATTTCTAGAGGTTATTTTTCAAATCTACTTGTTTCCTCATTCAAGCTTCACTCATTTCTTTAAACAATGTTATTTTATATTCTGTCTTAAAAGTCCAAAAGCTGAAATTTTTATAGGCCTACTTCTGCTGTTCATTGATTCTATCTTTTCTCACTGATGGTACCTTATTTCTCTCATTTTTTTAGAGAGAGAGAGTGAGCATGAGCAGGGAGGGGCAGAGGGAGAGAGAGAAAAAATCCTAAGCAGGCTCCATGCTCTGCGCAGAGCCTGATGAGGGGCTTGTTCTCATGACCCTGAGATCATGACCTGAACTGAAATCAAGAGTTAGATGCTTAACCAACTGAGCCACCCAGGTGCCCCCGTGCCTTATTTCTCTTGAACTGTTCTTTTCTTTGAAATATTATCTGTGACTATGTTAATATCTAGATTGGAGTTGACTTCTCTCAAAGGTGAGTTACTTCTACCTGGGGGACCTATCAAACTGGAACCATTAAAGGATTTCTTCTTCAGTGCCCAAGATTCTTGGTCACACCGCTTTGAAGAATGAAGAGGGAGACTGGACAGAAGAGTGGTGGGCAGCAAAGCAAAGTTTATTGAGCGAGAGCAAAGTGATACTACAAAACTCCTGAAGAGAGAGGGGACCCGAGAGGTTGTCACCGGAGTTTCTAAGTCTAGGGGTTTTTATGGGCTTGTTGGCAGGCTGTTTTAATCTGATTAACCCTCCCTGGGCCTGTCATCTACCTATCATATGGGAAAGGGTGGAGGGTTCCTTCCAAGGTGGTGTAAAATTCTTTTAAGGGTGGTTTCCTTTTACAGTGGGGGTCCCTTGTCCCTGCCTGCCTTTCTTCCAACTATCCTTCATCAGAACCACTTTATTTTTTTTTAAGATTTTATTTATTTATTTATTTGAGAGAGAGAATGAGAGAGAGAGAGAGAGAGAGCACATGAGGGGGGGGAGGGCCAGAGAGAGACTCCAGGATCATGACTTGAGCTAAAGGCAGTCGCTTAACCAACTGAGCCACCCAGGCGCCCCTTTAAATTACATCCTACGCTAGAGGGGTTTTTTTTTTTTTAATCACACAGCATGAATTTGAACCGCATGACTCATAAGGGCCAGCTTGTGTTATGACTCTTTGAAGGCTATTTTTTCAAGTTCCGGAAAGAAGGCTCTCTTTTCTGATCCCTTCTGCAGAATGGGGTTTATTTTTCATTTACTCTTATACTTCAGGTATAGTTCTTGGAGCCTCCAGCTTTATTCAGAGGTTTATTACCAGGCCCCTCACCTTAAGCATGCCCCGGACTTTAACATTTACATTTAAACCTTCAGGGTTTAGCAGCGACCTTCAGGGCAAAAATGGGCATTTTTAGTTCCCAGGGTCTCTAAGTTTGGAGAACTCTGCAGAGATGTTCCTTTCCTTCCAGCTCAGCAACAGATTTTAAATGATTTTATATTCTTTATGTTTTATCTGTTTCGTTTATAGGGCCGTTCAGGGTATCCAGTTGACAACACTGCCTGAGACGGAACTCTACATTTACTTAATCTATAACATAAAAGTATCGAACCATTAAGATAATTTAAGGGAAAAAAAACTAGCCACAGACTGGGAGAAGATATTTACAATACAGATATCTGACAAAGGACTCATACCCACATTACATAGAAACTCCTACAAATGAAGAAAAAGACAACCCAAGTGGAAAATGGGCAAAATAATTTTAACAGGCACTTCACAAGAGAGTATATCCAAATGGTCAACGAGGAAACGCAATGACATTCCATGACACGCCCAACAGAAGTACCATTTTTTTTAAATAGCAATATGAAACACTGATGAGGATGAAGACCTATTATTACTCTTGTATACTGCCGGTGAGAACAAAAAATACAACCACTTCATTAAAGTGTATACCTGCTAAAGTTGAACAAACGCATACCTGCAACCCCGCTCTTCGGTGTATACCTAAAAGAAAATGAATACACAGTTGCATCAATATACAAATATACAAATACAAGAATGTTCATAGCATCTTTATCAG